GTGCTGGCAGAGTACAGCGCAGGTCCCAGCTATGGCCGGCGCTCCGAAGGTCTGGCTATGCCTGTCTCCTTCCATGCTGAGCCGTCACCACTTCCGGTTCACGCGTAGCACAGCAGCGATGTACTCGGTACCAACTGCCAAAAGCCCTGAACCGATGTGCCCATCCTATCTATAGACTACAACTAGCCTAGACTCGACCTAGACCGGACTGAATGACCGACCGACCGGTACCGTATCTGTTTCGGCCTCTCGGCCTCTACCGGACCCGGCTATCGACTATAGGACCGTCTATCAGAATAGGCCCTTAGGGCCTGTCTGTCCTAGGGTAGCCCGGGCCTGCTATATGCAGTTAGGGTAGCTGTAGGGAAGTCAGTTAGTACCTGTATTTTCCCATATTTGCAGATATGTCCCTCATGATTATCCATCACAGGTAGGTCTCTTGGTTAGCCCTCAGCCAAACAAAATTACGAATCTGTCCTACCTAAAGTACAGCCTCGACAGAGAGAGGCCACAGGCGACCAGAAAACAGCAAGTCATTGCATTTTATTGCGAATTGGAAAAAGGGAGGCCGGGAATCCTCACAAACAACCCAGAAATTACAGGGGCTATCACCCAGCTTCGGCTTGTACTGGAAACCAGGTCCAGGGTGACAACTCTTCCAAAAACCTCTTGAAGATCAAGGGAAATGCAAGCCCCAAATTGCCTACCCCAAGCTACCACCCCTGTTGTTTAAAGGGTTATGGGGGTCTACCTCTGCTAGCAACTCTTCCCTAAACCCTGTTCGAAGCTCAAAAAGAATGCAGACCCCGAATAACCTACCCTCATGTACCACCCCTCTTGTTTAAAGGGACCGAGTCTGCCTCCTTATTGGGGTCTATCCTTGCTGGTTCCTGAAAGGCTTTCGTTCTCTTAGACTACTAGCGAAAAATAGCCAACCATCGTGACTTTGTTACCTCCTTGTTTTCTCTTCTCCCCCTTAAACCCTAAACCCTAGCTAGAAGCTCTCCTTCATGCAAACTTTCCTTCCCTCCCTTTTTGCATTTCATTCTCTCGGACCTCTCAATCCTCTGCTGCCTCTTGTTGTTGTGTTGGTGTTGCCGTCTTCCAGTGGAACCTGAGGCCTGCCCCCTCGATCGCTGCGACCTTTCCCTTGCCTAGTACCTCGTGCTCGAATCTGTTTTTTATTTCCTTCACTCCCGCTGGATTGTCCACCGTCTTTTTCCTCGTCCTTTTCCATTGTGCCCGGATTTCCATTTCCCCTAGGTTGTTGAAGATTTCCTATGCCTCGTGGATGTGCATTTGCCACCTTTCTATCGTTTGTTGACATCTCCACTTCCAGATTGTCCACAGGGCATACTGTCTGAGGAGTTGAGATGTTTTCAGCTCATAACACTGCCAAGTACTTGGTGTTCCAGTTCCCAGCGGCAGGGTAGGCTTCGATGAACACGGCGTCCGTGAGTTTGGCCCATAATTCTTTCAATATCCTCCATATTTGCTCTGCGTTATGGCACTCAACAAGACAGTGCTCAACTGATTCCTTCCTGCCTTCCTGGCACATTGCACACAGTTCGCTCTGGGGTCCTCTATTTTCTTGGCTCCTGCGCTTGTTCAGCCATTCGTTACAGGTCGTGCTACATGGATGATTAGCCACTGTAAACTCCTGACCCGCCCCAGTCTGATAGAGCTCAGTCCTAACCATGGCAGAGGACTAAGCCATGCTGGACCCACACCCATTCGATCTTCCCAGCACTCAAAGTGTCCTCCAGCAGATACGACCTCATCGTGAGTTTATACCCAAACTTAGTTGAGAAGTGCAGTTTGTTTGTCCTTAGCGCCACGTTCAGCCTCCCTCCTCTCAACTTCCAGGCCCATTCCACCGGATCTATCTCCAGGTCCTCGACCACTGTTGTTGTCTATAGATAGTGAAGTCTTCCATCTCTGTGAGCCTCACCCTCCTGTCCAGCTCCAGTCTCACCCAGATCTGTGTCCTTGATTCCGTATTGAGCTTGCTTGTTGTGGCGCCTGGCTCTTCTATTTGATACATGTCGGTAGTCAACCCAGTTCCTTTGTGGGCCCTCCCTTCTCTGTACACGAAAGGCCATCGTTGCTTCTTCTTCATGTCGCCAAGTTACCCAGTCTCCGCACTGACGGGATCAATATCAGTAGATCGTTGAGGTTTTCCAGAAGTTTGTGGTTGCCTTTTAGCAGGCTTCTCAGTTCTCTGCTGTCTTCCATTGCCCTTTTTCCTCTGACCACCAATGCTTTATCTGCCACACCCCATGCTCTAGCCACGTCCCCCATTTGGAGTCTTAGGGTTCTGGGCCTCCCTTGCTTATCTTTGATCCATTGGTTACAGAAGAGAGGCTGCTGTAGAACTTCCTCTCTTGTTCTCGGCTCACAAACCTCGGCTGGGAAAAATTCTTCCCATAGCATGAGTAGATGACGCCAGTAGTTTCCATCTCCCTCTCCCTGAGTATTCTGCTGTACCCTGTTGGCTTCCCTACATGTCTTTGCCAGCCTTCACACGTTCTAGTAAAGCCCTGAATATGTTGTGTGGGGCTTTGTATTTGGCCAGCTTTCTTATGTAATGAACCCAGATCGTGAACACAGTTGTCAACAATGCAAGTCCAGATAGATGTCAACAGCTGATGAGAACCAATAATCAAGATAGTGTCCAG